GAAACTAAAAAAATTTTAAAAAAATTTGAGAGATGAAAATTATGTAAAACTTTAAAATTAAGTACCAAAATTCACATTTAACGTTATTGTTATTATTATTATTATTATTATTATGGATTTAATTTTATGCTGGTGACGCTGTGGATGATTTTGTCTGTAAGCAGAAACTATTTAGAGTGGTATTTGCAAGTTGACCAAATGGGGAAGGCTTTAGAACATGTTGGCGTGAAATGAACCAACCATTTCTCCCTCACTGGACTTACATTTCCAGCCATCTGTGCGTTGAAACCTGGCTTCCCCTTATCCACACACGCCCACTTCTCCACCATCTTTCTACTCCCCCTGACCATCACAAAATCAAACACTAACAAAAAAAGAAAATTAAGGGTCGATTTCCGAAACAGAGAAGATGTCAATTGCATCGTCAATCCCACGTATCAAAATCCCAAACCCATCTTCTTCTTCTTTTCCTCCTTCTTCAATAATAAAACCACCTTATATTGTTACTGTACGGAGTTCTCAGGCTGAAGGGCCACTCAGAAGACCGGTGGTGCCGCCGCTTAGAGAACCCTCTCTCCCGCCTCCTTTGAAACCGGTTCCCCCTACTCCTTCACCGCCTCCTTCTTCTTCTTCCCCAACTGCGGCTCCCCCCAAGCCGGCTTCCGCAGCGGTTGCGGTGGACGAGAATGTAATTACTCTGGAATTTCAGAGGCAAAAGGCCAGGGAGCTGCAGGAGTATTATAAACAGAAGAAGGTCGAGGAATCAAATCAAGGACCTTTCTTTGGGTTCATTGGCAAAAATGAAATTACAAATGGGAGGTAATGGAACTTCTTCTCTTTATATTTTTTTATGTTCACTTGTTAGTATATGCTTTAATTTAACAAATTATACAATATTTTTATTAAAAAATTATTATTATTTTTATCTAAAATTAAAAATAAGCATTTATAAGATGAACTGAATTTATTATATTTATATTATATTTTTAATAATTGAATCAAATAATTGTCTAAAAATGTGTTAATTTGAATGCGTATTAATCATTTTCTATTTATATATATAAATAAGGGTGATATTATAGGGATAATTTTTTTATACTACTTTTTTATATATTTTTCACATGTCATTAAATGAATGGAAATATTCAATATTACGGATCTCACATAAATTAAAAGAATTAATCATTTAAATAATACGTCAAGTTGTACAAAAAAATAAGATAAAAAAATTGTACAAAAATCATTTCCTTGTAAACAAATCCATTGTTTGAAATACTTAAATCCATTGTTTGAAATACTTAAATCCATTGTTCTTATAGCTTTCAACTTTGAAGGTAATTTTCAGTTGAAATATGTATAACAGTATAATTAGTATGCAGCGTAATCTACTATTCTGTTGCTAATGTTGTCTGTTCTCTTTTTGTCATTTGAAAAAGTCAATTCAGTATTTCGATTTCTAGGATCGTAACATTTGTGGTACCTTAAATTTGAAGAAAACAATGGTCCTAGCTACTGGAGTTTGGCAACATGGATAAATATGTTGTTAAAGATTTTGAGATGATTAATGTGCTTCTTCCCCCTTTTCTAATTGTGTTATGGTACGCCACTGTTTTAGATGGGCAATGTTTGGTTTCGCTGTTGGATTGTTAACAGAGTATGCAACAGGCTCCGACTTGGTTGATCAAGTAAAGATCATGCTCTCAAATTTCGGAATAATAGATTTGGAATGATTCTTCTGCTTGTACCTCAACACCTTCTATACTTTTTTTTTTTTTGTTCCTGCAATTCCTGTAGTTATAACCATATCCAATGTTTCATCAGCAACATCTTAAGTAATTTGTGTAGTGTTCTTGTTCAATCAATTCGTTACAGCGAGCTGTATCCTCTGTTTACTCAAGATAGATGGGCAACATGATGTTCAAAATTTCAAATCATAAGCTGTTTCTTTTCTTTCTTCCCCTCCCTTTATACCACTCCTAACTATAATTGATCTTATTTCTATTTCAATATTGTTTGTGGGTTTGTGACACCCCCTTGGTGCATGTAGACCCAAGACAGGATATTGGGATGTTAGTGAATTTAAATTTTGACTTACTATAAAATTTCCCTTCAGATCGAACAAAAGCGATGCCAACATTTGGGTTTATGTGGCCCAATTAAGCTGGACTTATACATCACCAACCTTCACAAAGACACAAACCAAACTTTCTATAGCCAGCTGTTCATTAGCAAATTCTACTTGTGCACTGTGACAAAGTGGGAATGGGGTATAGAAAAAAAAACTTTAATAAAGGGTTCAATTCCAATTTTGAAATTTCCCAATTCTAAAGTGGAATTAATAATGGGGTGAGCCTAATAAAAATGAGGTCCACTTTAGAGATGAGGACCAGAACAAGGCCTAATAAAATGCTTTACTTGATTTTGAACCCACAAAATTAGCCTATAGTCTTATATTTCTATATTATATATGTACACTTGATTCTTATCACAAATCTCTAATGTGGAGACAACCAAAAAAATGTCACTTTTCATTTTTAAGTCTGATGCTGGTAAAACCATTGGACCCTGCACATACAAAGAATTTGGCATACTTGACCATGATAAGATGGAAGATCTTGTGTGAGTCCTCACTATCATAAAACCAGGCCAAACATTGAATCGTGTGGAAGCTTGAACAAGGCTCAAAAAATATGCACAAACGCAATCTTAAATCTAAAAAACGCTATATCATATAAAGCTCATGGATTTACTTAGTTTTCATCACATATCTCTGATTTGGGACGATTGCAAGTTGCAGCTCAAGAGACATGTGGGATTTGAATGGATAAAAAGAAGAAAAAGAGTAAGGAACTCGAACTCTTTTTCTTCTTTTTTTTTTTTTCAATCACCAAATTTTTACACCCAACATGACCTGACTTTTGTGTGGATTTCCACGAGAGATCATTCCTCCCTCTTTTAATTTTCCACACAATCAAAAACAATCAAAAAGCATAAAACAAAGACTTGTACAATTTGGGGATTAAAGAGTATTACCTTACAATTTTTGCAAACTCAGATTCCATAACGTAGATCCGTGAACTTGCTCTTGATCCACTTGAAGCTGTTCCTCACACTTGATTTTAGCTTACCTTCCGTTGTCAACACGTTATACGACGCAATTCTCTTCTTCCTCTTCAGCTCCGGATCATTTGAAGCCGCAAACCCGTTTCCTTTACTGCATGGCCCGTTGAAGTTGTAGGAAGTCGATTGATCATCGAACTCGAACTCACCGGAGAAAGACGAAGAGTATTCGGGGAAGGACCTCCTGTTCTCCATGACCTAGCTAAAACCAAATCCTAGTAGTGGAACACATATATTCTGCTTGTTCTCTTTTCATGGCGTTTTATATCATAGGTGGTGAACATGCAGGGTGTATGAGACTTGATTGGACAGTAATGGACGGCTGTGATCGAGAGACGCATGCGCGGAGGAACCGTTGTGGTGGCAGACCATGTGTGATGTTGGGACCATGATGGTGGGGAAGAATGATCATCAGGACCTGTGGTGATGGGGCCTAATTGTGTACATCATGCTGTGGCAACAATTAGTTCACGTGGTAGCCTGGGTCCACTAATCCCATCAATTTGTGGGGGTGGAGGAACTTAATTAGCATGTTGGTTGGCATTAATTTAAGAATTGAACTGTTGGTGAATGGGGTAATGTCTTAGTCAAGAAGGTAGGCTCTTTGGATTTGCATTTATAAACGCAAAACCAGAATTGATCATAGGTTTTATTTTTCTGTTAAACATGTCTCAATATGGTTCCTTCGGTTTTGTGGGGTCTTTTTTTTTATTTGATAATAAATTATATAATAAAAAATAATTATTTCTTTATTTTAAATTTCTTTTCATCTAACTTAAAGTTTAAATTTAAAAATTTTAAATTAAAAGTCTAAATTTTTAACCAATTAAACTATCTTGAAAGTTGTGAAGTTTATTTTAGTTGGGAGAACTAGGAAGGTTTAGTCCATGTAATGATAATCCTTTCTTAGCCTTAACTTTTAGACTTTTCTTGTAGGAAAATGATGGGTGCACACCCGGATCCCACGCCCGGGTATGCACCCCTTATACAAACAAAAAAAAAATGCCCATCATCCAGTTCAATTTTTTTTTTTATGTGGGGGGTGCACACTCGGGTGTGGGATCCGGGTGTGCACCAATTATGGCCCTTTCTTGTATTATATATGTGTGTTATTTTTTAGGTTATAGTTATATATATAGTTTTAATTTTTTAAATAACTTTTTTAGATTGTATTATATTTTTTAAATTTGTTCCTTCAAAAGTTACTTTATTTATTTATTTATTTTTTTGGAGATTATGCTTAAATAAGCTTGCGAAAGGTTATTTATGAAGGAGGGGTAACTTTGCAAGGGGAGGAGTTGCTATGTGGTTTGTACAATGAGCAGAGAGCAGCCATTTATTTTATATGTGCAGACAATCATGGATGGTATGGATGAAGGTGTTAAAGTGGTGGGGTTTGGACGAGTGTTGCCAAATACTCTAAGAGGGTTGGCTGAGGTGTTTTTATTTGGTTTAGGAAGGAATATAGAAAGAGAGATGGGTTCCTAAATTTTTTTATTGGTATCCTGGTATATTTGGTATTGGAGGAACAACAGTGTTTTAAAATGAGAGGAGTTTTGGGCAGCAGGTACTGATGCAATGCAACCTAAATCGTTTCTATGGATTAAGTACAGGGTGCAGGGATATGTTTTTTTCTTTTATGATTGGCAATCAAAACTAGTTGTAAATTCTTTAACTGTTAGAAAGAATAAAAGTTGTTTAAAGTAGTTTTTAACAAAGTTCATGTTGAAAGGGTGAATAGCTGAAAACATGGGTCCCTTTTTTCTTTTTTTTGGGTCTGATTGGTGTTAAAGTTATTAGAATGTAGCTATAACTGATTATTGTGTACAGTATATTTAATTATGGGTAAGAGTACTTATCATACTTTATTTTATTATAATAAAATTTATTTTTGTTGATAACAAAATTATAAATAATCTTTTTTTTTATTTTTTTCTTTAAGTCACCATATACTTATAATTCACAACACCTTTTATTTCAAATTAATGGAACTTATTACTAAATGACTTTAGTCATTTGTAAATTATAATTTCACTTACACAAATATGAGTGTTTCATAAATTATTAGTTGTTGATTTCAAATTCAACAATTTGAAATATTTTATTAAAAGTTATATCATCATTTTTAATAATTAAATTTATTAATTAACAATTAACAATTTATGTATTGTTTATATATAATGGATCGTGCATATAGATCAAATTAGAGAATCAAATCATCAATCTTTGTCATGAAATGAGGGAAGAGCAAGCAGCTGGATAATTAAAGATATATTGGACATCTAGTCAGGTTAATTTGATACGTAAGTTTGAGTCATCCCTTACCTTTAATAAAGCAATGGACTCATCAACTTCCACTTTGTGCTAATGTTGGGGGGCTCAGTGCTCCGTGGCCCCTCTATGTTTCTCGACCCATTATCTCTTCTTTACCTCTGTATATGCTGCGTTTCTTGTCGTCATACTTTAATGTCAAAAGCAACCTTCTTTCCGTAATTGATTTTTGGTGTTGTTTGTTTTATAATGATAGCCCTTGGCTTGGTTTGGGATGCTGGCGTGCAGGTGTAATGGTTAGTTTTTTTTTTCTTTTTTTGGTACTTAATATTTTAAAAATATATAATAAAATATATTTAATATATTTAATATTTCTTTTTATTAATGTTTTATATATTTTAATAATACTTAAAAAACGTAAAAATAGAGAACTAGTTGTGTGATTGTATCTTTGCCGTGCCGCAATCATCTGCTCTCTCAGAT